CATACCCAGAATTACATAGAATTCAACCATTTCTAAGATAACCAAGTCTACATGAGTATTGCTCCCCATAAAAGTCACAAGACAAGACCTATACACCTTTTCAACTATCACAGACTCACCCACCGGAGTAGAAACACAAATAGGCATGTCAAGCAATTCACAATGTAAATTAAGACTATTAGCAAATACGGAAGATACATATGAAAATGTATAGCCAGGGTCGAATAATACAGAAGCCATACAATCACAAACCAAAAGATTACCTGTGGTAACAGCATCTGATGTCTCCACTTCTGACCGCCCGGGGAAAGCGTAACAATGGGCCCTATCACTTGTCTGCCCGTTGCCCCTACCATGTTGTGTTGTAGTGGCTCTAGTTTGCCCGTCACCTCGGCCGTTTTGGTGACCACCATTACCTCGGCCACCACGTCCTCTAGAATAACGGCCTCTACCATGACCACCTCTACCTCTAGCTATTGGGGGTCTATAACTCTGTTTTGGACAATTCCTCCTAAAATGTCCAGTCTCCCCACATCCATAACACTCTCTGGAGTCAGACATAGGTCTCTCAGAGAAGTGTTGACCGGTCTGAGGTGGACCCCCAACTACAGTCTGTAGTGAAGACTGAATTGGTCGGACCGAGTAACCTCCTGAACCCTAACCTCTAGAGTAAGAACCATTAAACTCACCTCCCTTTCGAAACTTTTTTGATGTCGATGCCATGGTGAAGTCATCTGGCTTCACCCTTTCCACCTCTATCACGAAGTCTACCACTTCTTGAAAGGATTTTGCCGTAGCCGCTACCTGTAAGGCTGAAATCCGCAATTCTGATCTCAACCCCTTCACAAAATGGCGAATCCGCTCTTGTGGACTGAAACAAAGTTGGGTGGCATACCTGGATAATGCACGAAACTTAGCTTTATATGCAGTAACCGACATCATACCTTGCACTAGGCTCAAGAACTCATCTCTTTTCCTATCCCTCAAAGTCCGGGGGATATACTTCTCCATAAACAAGCTAGAGAATGATGCCGAAGTCATAGGTGGTGCCTCTGTTGGTTGACACTCAACATGTGACCGCCACCACATTTTGGCGTTCCCTTGAAACTGATAAGTCACAAACTCAACACCAAACCGTTCTACTATACCTATCTTGTGTAGTAGCTCATGACAGTCAACCAGAAAATCATAGGCATCCTCAGATTCAGCACCCTTGAAGACTGGAGGTTTCAATTTCAAGAACTTACTGAAAAGTTCATGCTGATCATTTGTCATTATAGGCGTTGTAGTCAGACGAGGAAACGTGCCTATTTCCAATGAGGCATCCATGCGGGGAGCCACAGTAGCTGCAAGTTGTACCTTCGGAACCTGAGGTACTGGTGCAGAAAACACTGGAGGTGTCTGGCCCTGATCAGATAACCCGCTAAGATAAGCAAGAACTTGATTGATCATCTCTGGGGTAGGTTGGGGTGACAATCCCTCATTCTGTACTTGTTCATTCTCCCCTTCCTCACCCTCTCTTACCACTTCCTCAGTCGGTAGAGGAGACACCGCCCTAGTACCAGATGGGCTAGGTGCTTGTCCTCTTTCTCTAGAGGACGTCCTCCCACGATCTCTTGCCACTACTCCGGCTTCGAGCTACAGCCCCAGTGGCTGGCTCAGACGCTTCTTGTCTTGCCGGTGTTGGTGTTGGCGCAGTCGTTGCTCTAGTTCTAACCATCTGCGAAATAGAGTGAAGATGGTCAGATACCAATTTGTATCACCTAGATACCAATTGGACCCAAGTAATAGCACGAAAGAAAGAAAGAAAGAATGGAATTTTCCTAAAGTCTTATAGCCTCTCAAAGAAAAGTAAAGGCGTCCCCTTACCGTTCCTCAAGACTCTACTAGACTCATTCTTGTGTGATGAGACCAACGAACTTAATGCTCTAATACCAAGTTTGTCACGACCCAAATCGAGCCGCGAGTGGCACCCACACTTACCCTCCTATGTGAGCGAACCAACCAATCCAAACCCCAACATTTTAACCATAATAGACAGAATACAATGCAGAAGACTTAAAACTCATTAATAAAAATAGATTAATAACTTCTAAAACTCAAACACTTGTTATTATCCCCAAAATCTTGAAGTCATCATCACAAGAACATCTATCCTTAAATTACTAAAGCTAAGAGTATCTCAGAAACTAAACATAAATAATGGCTAGTCTATGCCAGAACTTCAAGGCATCAAGACATGAAGAAGAAGATCCAGTCCAAGCTAGAAGCTTTAGCTTACCCTGAAATCTGGTGTGACGAAGACTGACTAGAGTTGCGGTTGAGTTAAAGATGACGGTACGTTTGCTGTACTCCACAAATAACAAAGAAAAACAATTACAAGTAGGGGTCAGTACAACCACAAGTACTGAGTAGATATCATTGACCAACTCAAAATAGAAAACAGTATATATCAGATAATAACATAAAATCAACCATATTCCTCAACAGGTGAAAGCAACAAGTTCACAAATCATGTGTAACCACATCAAACACACCTATGAGAACTCAAGTTTCCACACCATACTCATTTGGGATATAGGTTCTTTTCATTCGAATTTATTAACGTAATTTCAAGATTCATTATCTTTATTCCTCTTGTGCCAGTACGTGACACTCCGCTCTCCTACTACTATGTGCCGGAACGTGACACTCCGATCCCCTAATTCTACGTGTCGGTTCGTGATACCCGATCCCCTAATTCTACGTGTCGATTCGTGACACCCGATCCCCTAATTTTACGTGTCGGTTCGTGACACCCGATCCCCTAATTCTACGTGTCAGTTCGTGACACCCGATCCCCTAATTCTACGTGTCAGTTCGTAACACCCGATCCCCTAATTCTACGTGTCGGTTCGTGACACCCGATCCCCTAATTCTACGTGTCGGTTCGTGACACCCGATCCCCTAATTCTACGTGTCGGTTCGTGACACCCGATCCCCTAATTCTACGTGTCGATTCATGACACCCGATTCCCTAATCTCATTCTATTAATTCATCAAGCCTTCTTTTATACCAAGGCATCATCAATCTCATTACTTTAGTTCATCAAGCCTTCTTTTATACCAAGGCATCATCAATCTCATTACTTTAGTTCATCAAGCCTTCTTTTATACCAAGGCATCATCATTAACAAGGTAAATTTAGGATTAGAAATTCAATAGACTCATCATGCTTATTCATCACAACTATATAATCACATCATGTAAGCACACAATTAAGCATATGAAAGGTTTTATAATACTACCCAACACATATCATTCGCTATTAAGAGTCTACTACGAATAGTATAAAAACCATAACCTACCTCCACCGAAGATTCGTGATCAAGCAAGCAATTTCCCAAAGCTTTGTTTCCTCTTCGTTTCCCTCTTCTCTCGATCGTTCTCTTTCCCTCTCCTTGTTCTTTCTATTTTTCTTATTCAAACCCTCTTTCGTTTACCCTAATTAACATATAATTAAGTATAAAAGATGATGAATTAACCCATTAATTAATTCAAGGTTATCTCCTTTAACCCTCAAGTAGTTAAATTATTAACATTAACCCACTAAATTTATAATTATAGCAGGAATAGTCCAAAACGTCTCTTAAAACATTTAAAGAATTCCGACTCAGCCTGGGATTACGCAGCCTGTGACGGTCTTTCGTGCCTACGACGGTCCGTCCTGCTGCTTTCATCACAGAGTTCAGAGACTCAATTCCTTGAAGAGTCTGTGACGGTCCGTCGTGCCCACGACGGTCCGTCCTGCCATGTCGTCACGAAGTTCAGTGAGTCGATTTCAGTACCCAAATTTCAGAATTCTAAGTGTTTTGGAACGAGACCCCCTCGACAGTCCGTCGTTCCCATGACGATCCGTCGTGGGATCCGTCGTCTCAGCCAGTTTTTCCAGAAATAAAATCTGCTGCTCAAAACGACTAAACAGGTCGTTATAGAAAGGATGCAGGCCAAATGACTCAGTACGTGAAACTTACGAGCATGTAACATAAATTCTAAAAATAACATAAACTTTAACTTAATAAAAAAAACATACTTACCTCTTCTCAAACTTACTCAAATCAACTCATCTCAAGAATAAGACACTCAACTCAAAAATTAGACACTCAACTCAAAGGTTAGATGTTCAACTCAAAGATATGATATTTGACTTTAGGTACTCAACTCAATATAAAGCAACAATACACATGCAATATATGAAAAGCTTTTAAAATAGTAGAAAGTTACTCAGTGTATTGAAGAATACAATAACAATTAAAATTATATATAAAGTAATATAATATTGTGTGAGTTTATTTGAAAGTAAGACATAATAATTATTTATTTATGTGGAAAATATAGTCAATACTTACATTTTATTATAAATACTGGTAATCTATGATGATAATGAATTTATCAAAACATATTCCTTAGGATGCTTCCAATTCAAAATTTCTATAAATCTCAAATAGTTAATCGTTACTTCTCAGCACTTAGCGAATGATCGAATTTATCACTTCAAAGTTTTTTAAATATGATACAATCATTTTTCTTCCCGATAAGCTACATTATATTTATTAGGTGAATGTGTTTGTTTAATGCAAAAAGATAGTATTTAATAACAAATGTGAGATTCAAAATATCGTTATTTCTTCTCTTTTTTTTTTCACTCAGACTATTACTTTCTCTGTTTCACAAATAATGATTTGATTTGACTTGACACATAGTTTAAAAATATAAATAAGACTTTTGAATCTTGTGATTCTAAATTAAAGTTAGTCAAATGTATAATTGATCTTGTGACCTTAAAAATATCACGTGAAAAACTGAAATTAAAATGTTAAAAAGATAAAAGAAAAAGTTTATTCTTTTTGAAACATACTTATAAAGGGAAAAAAGTTATTTTTTTTAAAATGGAGGGAGTATAAAATTGGCTTGAGATCAAGACCATTAATGCAAAACAAAATCAAACATGCAATAGAGAATCAAATATCAATATGAATTGTCTTAGATAAACTCAAAATAGTTCAATCTGCTAATATTATTATGATCCAAAACAAGAAATACATAAGAGAGTTAAAACACATAACAAATCCATGGATGGTATCACCAGCATTTCAGAGCACTCTTGATCTTGTGAACAGTGTGTGAGATGAGTCCATTTGCTTGTTTGACCAACTCCATAGAAAGAGTTGTATCTGGAAGCATGTTCCCCATCATTTGAAAATTGATAGTCACCATTGATCCATCTTCGAACCCATTATCCATCTCCTCACAAGTATCATTAGCTGCCAAAAGATTGCGATTACAATCGGGCGCTATTGCTATTCCATTTGAGAAGAGAGCCACCCAAGAAGAGTCTCCCCCATCAATCACTTTATCCATTTCTTGAGAACCAATTGTAGCATAAACCAAAATTGATCCACTTTCATCCGTGCACGTATCTTGCAAAATCACTCGACTAGCACAAGATTCATCCCCCTACGCACATGTTCGAATCAAAACAATAATATTATTATTTATAAATCGACTTAAAAAAAAAGAAGAAAGTAGAATGAATCAATTGAACCACTCACATGAGCAAAATAAATAGAAATGTTGCTGTCGATGTTTTGACCCTTAGAAAATTGGATCATTCGTTCCATGGTAGAATTGTTGTACAATACATCCCACTGGCTCCTTGTTTGTTCATTATTGAAGAATTTGAACAACGTTTGTTGTTGCGTCGGTAACCAGATGGTCTTTGTAGCACTTAATATCACACCAACGTATTCACTTGGGTCACTTACATTAGTCCTCATCATTAACTTTGGATTTTCGTTAGTTGCTGGTTGAATTAGTTCCCAGTTATGCTTGGTTCCACAAACCCCCGTACAAAACATATCTGTCATTCGTTGAGCCATTTTTCTTATACCTCTCTCACCACTTAACTCAACTGACACAAATTATAAAAAAAATAAACAATTTTTTTAAAGTATTAAAAAATAAATAAATGAACCCATTATTATTATTATTATTACCTGTGGGATCAACAGCTGACTTCATCATTTTCAAGAAGTGATGTTGTCTTTGCAAAGAAGCGATCCACCTTTGAGCACCAAATGCCATACCAGCCTTTATCAAAGAGCGATACCATTCGTGGACAAGATTTTCATTATATTCCGTGTGCTCGATCCAAGTAACCTGCAAATATTTAATCAAATATTACAAAATCAATACAGAGAAATTAATTAAAATAAAATTTCTTTATATTTGGGTCGTACATTTGACATGACGTGAGGGATACAAGGAAACCAAAAGAAAAAATGGAGAAACTTTTTTGCAAAAGAAAGCAACAAATTAATGATATAAATATATTAATTTGAATGAAATTGAAAGTGAGCATAAACAAAGTAAATTATTAGAATTTTATTGCAAGGTTAGAAGGTGAAGAATAATAAAAACAATTCTTTATTAAGAAAGGATATAACATGTTTCAAACAAAACCAAATAGTTGCATAACTCAAACCTAGAGGAAAGTGGATCTTTCTCATTCCGAATATATAAAGAAAAATTCAGATAAAGAACAAAGTACTACAATGGATTAAGGGTGTGTTTGGCATGAAAGGAAAATGTTTTATATGGAAAACAAGTATATATTTGACTTATTTTCGCATGTTTTATTGGTGAGTATGAAATATTTTTCGAAATTTTTTTTAGTGTTTGGTTGTTGAATGAAAAATATTATTGAGCAATATCTTTTTTTTTATTAAAGCAGTAAATAATTTTTCAAGTTGATTTTTTTTAAAAAAATAAACTTAAATTTTTTTCGTGGTAGGTGTGGCCGTGGGGGCGGGGGGAATGATACGGGGCTAGTGGGGTGGGGTGCTGGTAGGGGGCTAGTGGTGGGATCTAGTAGGGGGCTAGTGGGGGGTTGGTAGGGGGCTAGTGGGGGATTTGTAGGGGGCTAGTGGGGTGGGAGGTCGAGAATAGGAGTGAAAAAATAAAATTTTAAGGTTAAAAATATTTTTAAAAAACAAACTTAAATTTGAGGTGGTAATAGGGGGTGCGAGGGTGGGTGGTCTAAAAGTAAATCAACAAGAATAAAATTAAGAAAAATATAAAGGCCTAAGAGATGGGATGCAAAATAAAAACACAATTTATTTTGAATTACCTTACAAAAACCATCTGGCATATCTCGTAAAATACAGCCAGATGGGAGCCTGCGGCAACTTTTAATTTCGTCGATAGATACATCAACAATAGCCCAGACATCTTCAGCATGTTTCTTACAGAAGCGAAGAAATTCAACTTCGCGAACAGAAACTAGGTCAGAAATGATTTGAAATTCAGTTTTAATCTGCAAAAATCATTACTTCCAAGTTGTTAGTGCATGAATAATAATAATATATATATATATATATGTGTGTGTGTGTGTAATTTTCATCAATAGTAAATAGAAATACCAATAGAAGAGAAGTGCTCTTATTTCCAGCCATGCCAGTTGAAATCACATCAGTAGCATATGTTTTTCCAACAATGCATGGAAACATATCTACCCACTGATTCTGCATATGTAAAATACACATAACCAAAAAAAAATAACATGTCAAAACATGTATATATATATATATATATATATATATATATATATATATATATTGAAGAGCCTACGTACCTTATCCATCAGCATATTCACCAATGCCATACTGGTGTCAGCCACTATACATGATGCCCTTGTGCCTTCCATTGTAAAATATTCAGGTTTTGTATCGATTAATGGGATAAATAATCGATCATATTCCTCAATATTTAGCATTTCTCCACTTCCATCCAATTTGCTAATCCAAAGAGGGTTACCATTTTCGTATAGCCTAAAAAGCTCATTGAAGGCATCCAAGCCAAGATTCAATAACACAATATTATCATGCGCTACAACTTTATTAAATAAGCTTAATTTGTAGGCAAGCCTCTTAACTTCATCTTCCAATTGATCATGCTCAATCTTTGTTTGATTCTCATCAACCTTTTCTTTACTATGTTTCTCACGGATTGAATTTTCCAGGGCTTCCTTTGTTACACTATGCTCTACGCGAAGCTTGTCATTATCTTGCTTCATAATCTTATTTTCATACCATTCCGATTGCAACTGATAAAAATAACACAATTCATTTTTATAACAATCAATTATATACATATTTAAGAAATAATGTTGTGATATATATGCATTACCTTCATTTGGGTTCTTTTATTCTGGAACCAATTTTGCACCTGGTTGAAGTCCATGGACAATTTTGTTGCAATTTCTTGTCGTGTTTTTTTGCTAGGGGTTGGATTCTTTTTGTAAAACCTATTGCCAATGGTATTAATTAAACAATGATAAAAATTAACTAACATAAGCAAATAAACAAGTAGAAAATAAATTAGCTTTAAGTATATATATAGTTACGCTTCAAGCTCCTTAATCTGATCAGCATTATGCCTATGGTTTTTCTTCCTCCTCGACGATGATTCACCTTGTTCATGTACAGATGCACCACCAGTTATATTGTCACCGCTAGAAACTTCTCCCTCTACAGATCCATCTATCAAATATTTAAGCCAACTTTCATCACTTTTCTCACTATCACCTTCCATCGTATCTCAATATCTGTCATTATAACAAATTTAAGTTATAGCTCTTATATTAATGCTGTCTTAAGTCATATCTACAACTTCTAATATAATGCCATGTAAAGTAAAAGAAAATCGTATGAATTAATTAATTATCTCTCTCTCCAGCTTATACAAAATAGCAAAATTAGTGAAGATTCAAATATATCTAGGGTTAACACAATTGTACATGACAATTTTTCAAGACAATGATGGTAGAAAATTTTAAAAAGAGAAAACACTTTGTATCAAAACATTATTTTTTTCATGAAACCTTAAATTTGAAACCCCATCTATTTCAATATATATTTCATCGTGTCCCTAAAGAAATTTCAAATATCTTTGACTAAATATGAAAAAGAATTTCAAAGATCTAATTAAAGTTATAGCACAAAGTAACAATCCAACGAAAGAGAAAGATTTCAAATAGTATTCATGAATATATAGACTATTCCAATTCAAGGATATAAATAATTTAGATTCACATCAAATAAATTTATGAAAGAGTTAATATTTTTTTGTCTCGAAAGACTCTTTATTTTCGCATCTTAAACTCATGTTGAACGATTTATTATTTTGTAAGATGTTCCCCAAAAATATACCATATATCACAAAAGACACATTGATAACTTATAAATATCTATAAACCAACAAAAAATTACCTTTAACTCTCCACAGAATATAAAGCATTAGATTTGGAGATCATGAAATGCTGATGTTTAATTAGAATTCAGATCTATCTATACAAGGTATATATGGAGTAATTAATTTAATAAATTTACAAAAAATCTTGCAAAATAGGAACAAAAAAGGGTAGAAAAGAAATGAAGAAATACTTACGTAGAATGACAGCACGTCTTGCTTAGTACTTGGAGAAATCAATGGGAAGACTCAAGAATACGACTACTTGATTAACTTAGTGAAGCAATTTTAGAATGGTCTGAAAAGTATGGTTAGTAGTAGGTATATATACTACAAGTTTTGTATAGATTACAAGGAGAAATGAGTCAACTTGGAGTTTTTTCCTACTCACATACCAAAATATAATTAGTACAACTTTGAGTTTTTTCCTATTCACATACCAAAATATAATTAGTAGTAGCTACATATACAAGTTTTCTATAGATTGGAAGGATCGAGAAATAGGTCAACTTTGAGTTGTTTCCTACTCACATACCAAAATATAATTAGTAGTAGCTATATACACTATAAGTTTTCTATACATTGGAAGGATCGAGAAATAGGTCACTTACCAAAAGATAATGATAAAGATGCTTGACCAATTGACGGGATTACATTAATATGCTCTTTTAATTAATTTCATTTTATATTTAAGTCCTTTAATTTTGACTATACACAAATAAACATTCGAACTTGTATAAAATATATAATATGGAATATCATTATTTTTTATTAAATATTAAATAATTACATATTATTGCATCATGATGGGACGGTGCATTGTTATTATACTTTTGAATATATATATTTTGTAATGTATAGAGGTCTTAAATTGAACGGCCACATCAATTCATGGAAAAAATATGATTGTTATGAAAAGTTAGTTCTTCATAAAAGAACATAAACTCGTATAAATAGTTGTTTGATCATGAAATAACATGAATCTTATAAAAAATCATCTCTTAACTTCTATAAATATAAACATTTTCTATAAATAGCCTAAGAAAAGTTTGCATGTATTGTTTGTATTTTCCCCAATATGTATATATACAATATCTTATTAAAGAAAGTGATTACACACCTCAAAGTCGTCGTCTTCTTCTTCAATTTATATTTCCTATTATTTTTTTTCTAACAATTAATGTATTGCACCAGGACATCAATATTTGCTAAACACCTCAAAAACTTCTATATTTAAATCCTTATAATTCATCGTAAGTGTATCGATTTATACTAGGTAATTTTGTCACAATTTGAAAAATGAACGTGATTATATTTGTCTATCCTTACTAAGACAAATTAGCGTCAACCCAAATTATTGAAAGATAAAGTAAGAACAAGATAAAAACTAATTCATTTTATTAACACCCCAAAACTTTATTGTTATGTGTACAAACCCTAATACATAAAGTGTTGAATTATGAAATAAGTACATGCCTCAAGTCTTTATTTGTCAATTAGAACAAAGCATTAAAAGAAGAAATGGAGGGTCCACCGGGATGACAAGTAACTACCTATCAATAGGTCTTTGACAAGCAGAAAGAGCAATCATCCTATATTTGGCTCAGAACCTGAATAAATGTAAAAGCAAGGATTGAGTACCAACAACACGATACTCAACAAGAAATCTAATAGAAAAATCTAGAAATCAAGTACTCCTCTCATCCCAACCAACCTACTCAAACTACAATATGCATATCAGTCCAACCTAACATTTCTACAATATACGACTCACAAGGGCAAAGAGATGGTTTTAGCATTTCAACAACTACTGTATTATTTGAAGCATTATCTAAGGTGATACTACTTATTTTATCACAAATTTCATAATTTTCTAAAATATCTAATATTGTTTCAGCTATATAACAACCGGTGTTTTGCATTTGACAACATTCATAACCTAAAATTCTTTTTGCATACTCCAATTTTCATCAATTCAATGTGCAGTAACAGTCAAATAATTATTACCATTTACACTATGACTCATATCAGAAGTACTAGCTATTTTTACAATTATTATAATAAATTAAACAACAAATATTTGAAAATGTTAATCGTGATAATCAAATACAACCTTTTTAATTGTATTTCTAGAAAAACCTCTAAAATGTGAATCATACACAATTCGAATATAATGTATAAATCCGGAATTTTCACAAACTAAATGACAAACCCATAGCAACAATCATTTTAGCTAATTCTTTAAGATCTTTTTCTCTACTATATGACCATGGTAAACTAGAGCCAGAAACTTTCGAAGACTTTAATTGTGTTTGGGCCATATTAGAGCCGCCTACTCCTACAATTTCAGGAAGGGGGTGCCACTCTTTTTAGCTTTGGCTACCGCTTTAGCATGTAAAAATTCATTTTTACAACATGACATTAAATGATTACTCAAATGTCCCGTCCCACCTTGTTTTCCTACAGTTTTATGATTGGATCTATGTTTACATTTATTACAAATAGCTTGTGTTTTATCTTCATTTTGAGTCATAAATTGCCACATAACTGATTTTTTAGCACGTTCTACCTTAAGCCTAAGATGTGCGGGGGAAATGGGAGCAGGACAACGAAAGGGAGAGGGACTAGGAGCGGTACTAAGAGAGGGACTATGAGTACTAGTAGCCATAGGTGGCTAAGTTTCATCATCAAAATTAGGCGTATCAATATATAATTATCAACATTATCATGTTCATCATCTTCAAGCAATTCCACATCAAAATTACCAAACCTTCTTTGTAAATGTTCATGATAAGGATCTAAAAAATCCAGAATTACTATCAATATCAAAAATACTATCATTAACATGTGTATAATCATCCGTATTAATTCTTACTACACTAGATTTTTTAGTTTTAGATTTAGAAGAACTGTCGATTTTTTTATTAGTGGATATAAAGTTTGTCATATTTTTAACCGTCTCAACTATATTTTTTTTTTACCTTTTTTAACAACCTTTTTACCGGAACTCATATTCAAATATTGAAAGTGAGTTATAAATTACTAAATTATATATAAATCGAAAATGTAATGCAAACAAATTAACAAATAATTACTCATAAAATAATTAAATAATTGTTGCAAATAAATAAATAACTAAATGAAAAAAATGAGATGGAAGTAGGAAAGAACGTACGGAACATCTATTTAAAAAAGTAGACGTGTATGACCGAAAGCCAAAAATTGAAAGTTAAAAGATGAATTTTGAAGCTCCAAATTAAATTTCCAAAGATCAAATTCATAATTTCAACAAGAATAAGATATTAGAGGGCAGAGAGTTGACAGAATAGAAGATGATCTTTTTGTGAGTGAAAAGAATGAAAGTTTTGGGGTATTTATAGGCAATAAAAAGGTGAATATGTAGTTTCTAAAATTGTGAGGTATTAAAAAAGCTAGTGGGGTGGGGAGTGCGAGGTAGAATAAATGGGGTGAAAGAGCCGTTGGTGGGCCCCACTGCATGTCACCCAGCAGCTCTCAACAGTTAGTTCCTTTAATTATTTTTTAAAAAACAATTCGGATCGAGATTTACCAGATTGAGATTAATTGGTTTCCGTCCCGTTACCTGTCCTGGATCCCGTAGCTACTGGTCCTTACTGGACTAGCCAAAAACCAGACCAAACCTGTAACAGATCGGGACGGAAGGGGACCGGTATCGGGACCTCCCAGTCCTGTTGCCATACTTAATCCCCATTACTCCTAATATACACAATAAAGGAAAAATACATGGATCCTAATAGAATAAAAGATTTGGTAGATCACTTACCTTAATTCAACTAACAACTCCACTCCCCTATTAATGTCTAGAGCCACACAATTTATAATAAATATCACAATAAATTTTTAAAATAATAATAATACCTACATCATATACTTTGGAAAAAATTTCAATCAACTCAAAACCTAATTTTGAAAATGAATTTTGAATCTGAAATTCTTTACTTAAAATAATTAACCATGAATTTTAACATCAAAATTTGAAATTTTGATTGGTAAATGACTAGTATAAGAAATCTCTTCAAAATCACCTTTTAAGAGTTTAACAAACTCAAAATGAAAAATAAGACTTAAGCCCCAAAAATGGCAGGTTAAAACTCTCCTCTGATATCACAAAATGATCATGGGTTTGCAAAAGTGAACCCCAAATGTCAGGGTCTTTGCCTTCGTGAAAGTGACCAATCCTTTGCGATTGCTATGATCAGGCCCTCTGCCCTTCACATTTGCAATCAGACCTTCGCTTTCATGAAGATTGCAAAAGAAACCATTCTTTCACAAACACAAAAAATAACAAATCCTAGACACCAAAA